GAAGAGTTTAAATAGTAATGGCAGTAGTTCCTCTCTAAATGTCTTGTAGAAGTCAGCAGTGAAGCCATCAGGACCTGGGCTTTTCTTAGTTGGGAAGTTTTTAATTATGTTTTCAATTTCATTGATTGATATTGGGTTGTTTAGAATTTTTAGGTCTTCTTCATTAAACTTTGGCAATTCATACTAATCTAGGAATCTGTCCATTTCTTCTGTGTTTTCCGTCTTATTGGCATATAGGCTCTCGAAGTAGGTGTTGATGATCCTCTGGATTTCTGCTGGGTCCATTGTAATTTCATCTTTTTCATTCCTAATTGCATGGATTTGGCCCTTTTCTTTCCTTTTCCTGATAAGGTTGGCTAAGGGTTTGTCAATTTTGTTTATTATTTTGCATAACCAACTCTTGGCTTCATTGATTTATAGTATCATTCTCTTAGTCTCCATTGCATTGGTTTCTGGTGTGACCTTTATAATTTCCTCCCTTGTTTGAGCTTTGGGTTTGTCCTGCTCTTCTTTTTTTAGAAGCTTGAGGTTCAGCATCAGGTTGTGTAATTGGATGCGCTCTGTTTTCCTCATATGAGTATTATTGCTATGAATTTACCTCGTAAGACTGCTTTCAATGTGTCCCACAGAGTCCTATATGTTGTATTGTCATTTTCATTTATTTGAAGGAACTGTCTGATTTCTTTATTTCCTCTGTGACCCATTGGTTATTCAGAAATGTGTTGCTCAATTTCCATATGTTTATGAAATTCTTGTGGTTTATTTTCCTGTTGACCTCCAATTTCATCGCATTATGTTCTGACAATATACAGGGGATAACTTCAATTCCTTTGCACTTACTTAAACATGCTCTATGAGTGAGTATGTGGTCTGTTTTGGAGAATGACCCATGTGCAGCTGAAAAGAATGTATATTCTGAATTTGTGGGGTGGAACATTCTGTAAACATCTGTTAAGTTCATTTGTTCAAGAGTTTGAGTTCTAGTATTTCATTGTTTATTTTTTGTCTAGTTAATCTATTTTTGACAGTGGAGTATTGAAGTCCCCCACTACTATTGTATTAGTGCTTATATGATTTTTCATGTCTATTAGTATTTGTTTTATATAGTTGGGCACACTAATGTTTGGTGCACATATATTTATGATTGTCATCTCTTCCTGTTGGATTGTTCCCTTTACAAGGATGTAGTGTTCTTCTTTGTCTCTCTTAATTAGTGTTGGTTTGAAATCCACTTGATCTGCAAAAAAGGTAAGTACTTCTGCTTTTTTTTTGGTTCCTGTCACATGGAGTATTGTTTTCCACTCTTTAACTTTCAGTCTATGAGTTTCTTTTTGAATTAAGTGCATTTCTTGTATGTAGCATATTGTTGGATCTTGCTCCTTGACCCATTCTGCCAGTCTATTTCTTTTGATTGGTCAGTTGGTAGTTATAACTGATACATATTGAGTTATCATTGTCATGACTTTTTCTTTTTGTTTGTTTCTCCCACTTTGTGTTTAATTTCTTTTCATGCCCAATGGATTCATTCTGCTGGGCTTCCTGAGGTTGTGATCCTCATTGTCTTTTACTAGGATATTGTCTAAAGTTTTTAGGAGCACTGGTTTGGTATTCATGAATTCCTAAGGTGCTCTTTGTCATGAAAGTATCTTATTTCTCCAT